TCTTCCTCCTCCTTCTTCTTCTTCAGAAAAAAATCTGGAAAAAATTAAAAAAAAAAAAAAATTAAAACGACGTCATTTTAATGTCGAGTCAAATTCAAACCTCCAAATTTCGAGCTACGGATCAGAACTTCGTTGAGGCAAAAGAACCGTCAACGCAATTGCTTGATAATTGGCTTGAATTTAATCTGTAAGGATTTTTCAATCCTTACTGGCACGCCCCCCTTTTTTTTTTTTTTTTTTTTTTTTTTTTTTTGGAAAATTGGCCCCAAAACGACGTCGTTTTGGGCCGCTGTTGGAAGGGCCGCTGGGTTGGGCGGCCGAGGATCAGGACTCCTTGGGATTGTACTATTATTAGTGAGTTGAGAGTATGGACCTTGGAGGTGGAGATTAGCAAAGGCCTCAAAGGGTTAAATTTCAAAACTAGTGAAGGGATTAATTTAGGGAAAAAAAAAAAACATTTTGCCCATGGTGTGTGTTTGTGTGTGTGTGTGTTTTTTTTTTTTTGGTATTACGTCATTATATATGTATATATATGTATATATGTATATATAAATATTAAAATAATATGGTACCAAAAAAAATATTTATAAAATAGAATTTTTAATATTAAAATATATCAAAAACACAAAAGGGTATTTATGGTATTTTATATAGTTAATCCCCTCATTAAAATATATTACACAAATATAATTTTTCTTAATCTCATCACTAGCAATCTCTATACTAACAATCACACCCAATCTAACTCTGTAAACAAGCAAGACGATGAACACTACACTAAAACCAGTAGAAGAGGCCGGGACAATGATTGTAAATTGGTTACTTATGGGACTCATTGAAAAATGAAAAAAAAAGTTTGGACTAATTCGAAGACAAGTAGAAGTTGGATTTATAAAAAATACCCCTATTATCCTTTTGTTGTATTAATTTTACTTTATTTTTCTAGAAAACCAAGCTCACTCTAAAAAATAGTGTGTGATACACCTTTCGTTAGTTTAGATGAAAAAAACAAACAATGTAGGGATGTAAGAAAAATCAAAAAAATTGACTAAACCGATTGAATCGGACCGAACCGGTCATATTTGATATATTTTTTTAATAAAAAGTAGCCTATATGATTTTTTAATTTGATTTTTTTCGATTTACTCAGCTAATTCTACTCGGCAAAGCGAGCAAGCTACCTATCTTACCAGCACAGCTTCCCTAACAACTCTTTTTATCCCAAGTGGCCAATCCTATAAAGTTCAAACATCTTGTGCAATGAACGAGAAACTGACCATTTCAAAATATATTATATTTAGAATATATATATATATATATAATTTAATAATATAATGATATTAATAAATATAATAAATTATTAACTTGTCTTCCCTATAACCTAAGTTAGTGAACCCATATTATGTATAATCTTAATTTAACTAATTATTTTTTAATCCTTAGTGTTTATTATTAGTATTTTTTTTGTTTGTAGTTTTGTTAATCTAAGTATTGGAAAGTATTTATTAAATGGATAGATTAATAGTATGTTTCAATTTGTGAACAAATGATGAATTCAATATTCTTACATAGATTATTGATTTTAGTAAAAAGTGGCTCAAATTTGATAAGTCTTAGACCGATTAAACTATATCGAACCAAACGATTTCAATTGGTGCGTTTTGTACAGTTTGACAGGAGAAGCGGTCTGTATTAGTGCTCAAAATAATACAATTGACATTATTGATTTGATGTAAAATTTTACATAAATATTGATCATGTGACATCCCAAATTTTAATTAAAGACAATGTGAATATATATATATACACATATATAATAAGAGTAAAATAAAATATGGAATGTTATGGTCGTAAGTAAAGTAAAATATTGAATGTTATGGTCGTATGTGATAATTAATTGAGAATTATATATTACATAAATAAAAAAAAGGTATATAATTATTTTCAGAATTGAGCCAAAGTAGAATTAAACCAAAACTTAAGCAAAAGAGGCACGTGTTGAGATGACATCTTGATGACCACGGTTTGCTTCTTAATGGTCATGGTTTGCCTCCCTATAAATAGGGAAGATATGTTCAAGTTTAAGGGAAACAAAAAAAAAGGGAAGAAAATACTAGCAAGAAAGAAAACTAATAAGTAAAGAAGGCCTTTAATAGGGGAAAGTAAGGTCTCGTTTGGGAACCTTTTTTTTTAGTTAAAAATTTATTAAATTAGTTAAAAAGTTAACAATTTATACTAAAAAAATCAAAGATTCTCTTTTTTCTCTATTTTTTACACATATTTTCGTAAAAAGTCAAAAAGTCATCCCAAACATACTAGTTTTTTTTAGCTCATATTTTAGCCAAATAGTCAAAAAGTTACTAAATTAGCCTGTTCCCAAACGAGGCCTAAGAGTGGGAAATTAATATTAAGATGAGTAATATTATACCATGAGTTAACATAAAATATTTTACGTATATCTTGAGTTACCACGATTTATTTTATGCAATTCATGTTTTATAAGTTATATTAATGTTTCAATTACGTTAATGATTTTATAAACCCTATTTGCTTAAATTAAAACCCATAACTATGACTATTTAAATTTTGGAATTTATTTGACAATGATTATATAAATATTTCTTTTTGTGAGTACCACCACAGGAGTCTCATGTTTTTGGAGACTTAAATAATCATTGGCCTCTGATTGGTCACTTTGTGGCCCTCTGTTTGTCATGGATCCATCGACCTCTGTTATGATTGTCCCTCCAGTGATCTCTATTTTATTCTGTTTTGTACCGTGATTATGGTAATTTATTTACATAATTTCGGGATTTCAATTTATGCCACTTAAATAATTTGTTTATTCAAATTAAGTTATGTATAATATTTTAGTTCAAATACCTATCCATGATTATTTTGTGCCCTATGCTCTTGATATAATATCTCTCACTCTACTGTGTGCTTATAACTATTACCCATTTCAAGTGATGAAATGTAAGGAAGGATTGTAACCTCGTGTAGTGGGATTAGCACGGAACTTAATGCCGACATTTTGTATTTTTGTAATAATTGTCTGTCATCGAGAAAAAATAATAAAAACCTGATGGGTGTATTTCCTTTTATTAAAATAATAGGATAATTAATGAAGTTAATTATCTATTTACTTATTTTCTTACTTTTATTTCGCCTCCACCTGCGCCACTTAACTTGTTAAAATTAAAATTAATTAGCAAGTTGCAATTCGAGCCCTAAGCACCCGGGGTTGGGTCGTGACAAGGTGGTATCAAAGCCAGGTTAAATGACAGTATATATATGTATCTATAAATTAATATTTCTAGAATATTTTGCCACATTAGAGATCTTTTTTTGTGCACCATAGTTAATTGTTATGTGATGTAAGGATGTCCGAGCAAATTCTCAATGAAGCATTCTAGAATAAGCTTAAGACCATGAGTCTAGAGGGGATCTTAGAAGAACACCACACCCCTGCCTCGCCAGAAGGATGGGGAGACTCCGAGAACATAATCAGATAGTTACACCCAAGCCTTGACTAGCTGATGGGTCGATCGATATATCTGCAGGCCGATATATCTGCAGGCCGATCTTGATGATTTGGCATACCTATCATGGAGACAGAGCTGTGTCTATACTCGAAGACGATACCTCAGACCTACCCACGTGGTCGGCCTTGCCCCAAGACTAGACCGCCCCCATTATATAGTTGGCCCTTTCTCCCGAGTTATATTGAAAGGAAGCACTGTTCTGTTCAGTTTTGTACCGTGATTATGGTAATTCATTTACATAATTTTGGGATTCAATTTCTGCCACTTAAATAATTTGTTTATTTAAATTAAGTTATGTATAATATTTTAGTTCAAATACATATCCATGATTATTTTGTGCCCTATGCTCTTGGCATAATATCTCTCACTCTACTATGTGTTTATAGATGTTACCCCTTTCAGGTGATGAAATGTAAGGAAAGATTGTAACCTCCTGTAGTGGGACTAGCAAAGAACTTAATGCTACTGACATTTTGTATTTTTGTAATAATTGTCTGTCATTGAGAAAAAATAATAAAAGCCCGATGTGTGTATTTCCTTTTATTAAAATAACAGGATAATTAATGAAGCTAATTATCTATTTACTTATTTTCTTACTTTTATTTCGCATGCGCCTGTGCCTGCGCCTGCGCCTGTGCCTGTGCCACTTAATTTGTTAAAATTAAAATTAATTAGTAAATTGTGATTCCAGCCCTAAGCAACTAGGGTTGGGTCGTCACATATCGTACCGAACCAATTGTATGCCTATAACAATGACACTTTGGTCCAAAAGCACGTGGGGTTCTTCTGGTTGTATGTGAATTATAGAGGAGTAAAGTGGTTTGGCCTTCAACCACAAAGGAGTAAAGTGGTTTGGCCATCAACTTTTTTACAAATTAATCAAGTAAATATATATATATATATATATATAATATAGGATTTAATTTTGTAAATTAGGCAAATAAAGTTGAGTTGAAATCAAATATTTCATCTATTGAAGATCATTTACTTTATTAATTTTTTCATCAAGTAAAGATTATTTTCATTAAAATCATGAAATTTGGAACATAACATTTGAAGTTACAGACACACAACTGTAATGGAAAAGGAATACACAGTATATTTACTACAAGCAAGCACCAAATTGTTTTGAACATGTCAATCTTGTTCCATGTTGGTACCTAACCTACTTTGATCTCTTCTTCTGATGACCCATTTTACACCAAAAATTCTCACAATCCATTCGTCTTTCTTTCAAATGATGCAACTTCCTAGCACCAAACTAAGCACTACTCTACATCTATATCCCATCAACACTATTTCCCAGCCAAAGCCACCAAGTCTATGCTTAAAATTGTGGCTCTTTGGTAAATATGGTGATTCTATTACTTTAATATTCCCACATTTCTTTGACAACGGAAAACCACACAAGCCTACATTTCCCTCATATGAAGTGTTTGAAGATGTTTGAAACTACTAACCTTGTGGTATAATCCCAATTAGATTGTTTTGTGAGACATCAAAAACTTCAAGGAATGCCAAGCTCGTCAATTGTTGAGATATCTCACCAGAGAGCTTGTTTTGGGATAGACCTAAGGACTCGAGCTTAGTGAGATTCACCAAGGACAATGAAATGCGACCTGTGAACCCATTTCTTAGAAAATTTAGAACATGAAGGGCTTTTAGTCTTCCAATGGATGTAAGAATCTTTCCATGGAACTTATTGTGTGAAAAATCAGCTGCTTTAAACATGGTGAGGATCTTAACGTATTCCATTTCATATCCTTTATTCATTATGGTCGTTGAATGATAATCATATCAACCAATATATTTTGACTGAGTATTGTCTTCATTAGCCATCATCATTGAATCCTAGTTGTCAAAGTATTTTGATGGCAAAGTACCTATAAAATTATTGTGAGATACGTCAATGATGTTCAAATTTGTAAAGGCTAATCTCTTCCCTGGTTGCCCAATTGGTCCATGGAATTTATTATCTCGCAAGGCAATAACCTTCAGCTGAGGTAGGTTCTCCAACCAAAATGGAAAAGTATTTATTATCAAATTATGACCCACATTCAAAACTTCTAGCGTTGTGCGATTCGCCAATGATTTTGGAAGCACCCCTTGTAATCCATCGTGGCTAATGTCAAGTTCCTGCAATAAGCTTGCATATCTAAATGTTTAAGGGATAGTCCCATGTAAATTGTTTCTCTGCAAATTTAACACGGTTAAATTTCTACTAAGTTCTCCAAACAAGTAGGGATTAATCTGCCAAATTGGTTATTGGACAGATCGAGATATGCAAGAGAATGAAGATTACAGAGTGGATTGAGTTCTTCATTTAGATGGCTGTTTGAAAGGTCTAGCATCTCTAACAATTCCTTTCGGGTTTTTAGAAATTCAAGAAATTTACTTATATTGCAAGACAACAATCGTAATGTCCTAATGTTTCGGAAAGAGGAGTGGGTGGAGTTGGTAGTGGTCAATGATAGACTATTGTTTGAAAGATCCACATAACCCAAATATTCAAGCTTTGCAAATGTGTCTAGCTCAACAGTGCCGCTTAAATTATTTGACGAAAGATCAAGATAGGTAAGGTTCACAAGATGAAAAAAGGAAGAAGGAATTGATCCATTGATTGAGTTACTGCCTAAAGGAATTGAGCCTTGAAAATTGCTTTGTGAAAGATCAAGCAAAGTTAATCGCGTGAGGTTTGTAAGCGATCTTGTAATGGAACTCGAGAAATTGCATCCATAGGGGTATAGCTCCTCCAAGTTTTTAAGATGCCTGATTGAAGATGGTAATTGCCCATTGATCATGTTATTCGGTCAAAGATCTAAAATTCTTAGTTTTATAAGGTTTCCAAGTGATCTTGGAATGCTACTAAGGAAATTGCAGTCAAAGAGGTATAGCTCCTCCAAGTACTCAAGTTGGCCGATGGAATTAGATATCTCTCTGGTGAAACCTGTGCGAGAGAGATCCAACGATGTAAGGTGAAGGAGAGTTCCATTAAAAAAACTTGGAAGTTTACCTGTGAGTTCTCTGTTACCGTCTAACCATAGCTCCTGCAATTTTACTAAGTGGAAAATGCTATTGGAGAAGTTATTCCCTTGCCAGACTTCGTTTGATGATGATGATTGTATTGGGCCAGAAATATAGGAGACAGAGAGGTAAAGATGGGTCAGATTTGTGAAACAGCCAAATGAAGGTAAAATTTGAGAGTGATTGAAGTTATTCCTATTAGAAAAATAGTACCAAACTATATGGAAAATATAATTTAAAAATTTGTAAACGGTTTTTGGGCAAAACCAAACTGAAATAAATCGACATAATAACGTAACAAAACTTACAATGTATAAATAGATAAAACCTGATCGAGTCGAGTGCGTGACATTCTCTCCTTAAGACAGATTCATCCTCCCACCGGTGCTGGTGCTCAGGATTCAATGGACGTCTATCTCCCAGGATATAACGATCAATGTCTTGCACTAGCAGCACTACTATTGCAAGCCTAGCGAACTTTGCTGTGCATACACACTATTTATAGAAAAATTAGACTCAGGAAAATATGAAGAATAAATGCAAAGATGACGAAGAAATAACGAATTTCCTGTCCAGATGTAAGGGAGATGGAATTTATAGATTTCTCTATGACTCTTCAGAAAGGTTGTGATGCTTCAAAAGGACACACTATTCCATCTCAAAGAGACACAACCATTGAAGTAAATTTTAATTCAAATTTTCCAACAATCCCCTACATGAATGAAATTCAGGGAAAGGACATGCAACAATATGCAGACAAAGAGAGAGTACATTAAGGAAACACCATGCATCGGGATAGGTAGTTTTTGGCTTTGAACCTTTCCTAGTGAAAGCCTATCGAACTTATTAGCTAATAAGTGAACGTGATGCCTTGAACTGTTCTGCCGTTTGTGTAAGCCAAGATAAGAGAATTCACACAAAATATCTCCAGATACAGCTTAGTTCTCACGGTTACGCCCGTTTTGGCCTTGGACATGTCCTAGTGTTTCATAAGTGCTTTAGAAAATTTAGCCTTATCAATTCTCATAGAAGCGACCCCTTCACACTCATATAGATGATCCTTATTTCAAGTCTCTTAAATACTCCTCTTGAAAGATAACCCTCTAGGGTTTTCAAGATATAAGTGATTGTTAAAAGCATAGCTTACCCTAAGTCCCCTACATACAACACATGTTACAGGTATCACTCTCATCATAGGAATGGATAGGAGATAGACTTCTTTAGTGATTTCTGGCGAGCCACACATAACTTAGTTGTCCTTTTGAACTTAGTTATTGGGATCTCGAGTCATCTAAGTAGGGTTACCATTACGATGACTCTGATGTAATAGGCTTTAATCACATTCCCCTCAATGAACTTTCCCTCATTTGCTCTCTGGTCAAACTTTTTGTTTAGCGGTCGCTATTTTTCATTTGACCTTCTCAGTTATAAATCATTGAGTAGTTAGTTGATCCATTATATTATCCTTAGACAATATTCACAACTTAAAGAAAATGTACTACGATATTAAGTCTTTGATTACATCGAGACTTACCATTACTTTATGTCACTCTCATTTTCAAATTTAAATAATAAACATAGAGTTGTTCCTTAGGAGTTAATGAAAGGATTTTTGCTTCTACTCCAACTTTGTCCTATTGAAAGAATTGAGATTCTTTATGGACCTATTATCGGAACCGTTACTTTGGTAAAATCTTTCAAGCACCCCCACATTTTAAGCATTCTAAGGAAACTTAATTTCTCTTGCTGATGTATAATTACACAAAAATATTCACTACAACAAAAACACATTTTAGTGACACCATACTAGTGGCATGTTCTTAAAAAATGTCACAAAAAGAATATTTTGTGGCATTTTTTAGAAAAATGTCATAGAGCCACAAACATACAAGGCTCTAGTGGCATTTCAATTAAAAAAAGTGTTACTTCACTACAACAAAAATGTCACCACAACAAATTTACACTTTAGTGACACTACACTAGTGTCATGTTTTTAGAAAATGCCACAAAAATAAAAATTGGCATTAAATGTTTTAGAAAAATGCCACAGAACCACAAACATACAAGGCTCTAGTGGCATTTCAATAAAAAAATGTCACATCAATTTTATGACGTTTTATAAAATAACTTCACAAAAAATTATGAAGTTTTTTCTATCGTGGCACTAGTATCTACCGTGGCATAGATACAAATGGCACTTGTTCAAAACGCCACAAGACTAAAAAATGTCATTAAATCAATAGTTTTGTAGCACTTTCAAATGTTACTAAACTAAGAAAATGTTGTAGTGATTAATACAGCCCCACAATTATAAGGTAAATCAGAATATATCATTAATTGGCTTTTTGAACTAAATAATAAGATGTAAACTGCTTTGTTAATATAATCACAATACTAATTTGTCTAAAATACAATTAGACTTCATAACTTTCTTTTGTAGTACAAAGAAAAAATGGCTAATACCGGTTGTGGCCACTGAAAAATCTAGAAATTCCCCCTAGATATTGATTTGTTATTATGTAACAATTTTAAGCAGTATGTAACAATCCCAATCAAATAATCAAGACAAATCAACACAACGATTTTAACGTGGAAAAAACCACAATTGGACACCTCCAACTGTGATTAAAAAAACCACGGGCAACAGCCACAAAACAATCCACTAAGAAGATTTAAAGGAATTACACAGGTATACTCTCAATTACCTAGCGAATCCACTCCTAATTGAACCAACCTCTATGTGCCTCTTCCAACCCGTCTTCACCTTGGAATTGTCTTTACGATGAGCCACCCCGGAATCCACCAAAGCTTCAGGCTTGAATTCTTCAGAATCCACAGAAGAATAACTCTCTCTTTTATAGAACAAACAAAACCTTTGATGTATACTCTTTAAAACATGAGTTGAATACTCAATCAAAACATCAAAGAAAAACTCACAAAGTATCCCCAGCTATAATCCCTAGAACCCAAAAAGAAGATCTGGAGTCGTAACCCTAAAATCTGACCCAACACGCGAATTTATAGAATCTATCCCGCGATCTCCGCTCAAACGCCCAAAAGCCCGCTCGAGCGGCTTCAGCAAAATATGTGCGTGATATAACAGACGTCCGCTCGAGCGCTAGAGAACCCGCTCGAGCGCGAAATTACACATCTCAGTACTTTTACAAGCAACCAAAACTGCTGGAACCAGGAATTCTCTGCTCGAGCAGGGTAATGTCCGCTCGAGCGGACAGGCAACTTGGAATGCATTTTTGCATTTTGCTTCGGGGGCGCTACCCCGGACCTACGAAGGGGCGCTGCTCCCTGGACCCCTGCGAGCTGACTGGGCAGCTCGATCCCCGTCATAATCAGTGAAGTGGAAATCTTAAAAGTATTAGCATCACAAACTTCTCTGAAAGGAACAATTCGGGTTGGATTCATATCTAAACACTCATAGCCTTACTGAAATAAAAGTGCGAAAATAAATACAACTGAAATGAGTTTTGTCAAATGGGGTTGCCAAGAATAAAACCTAACAATCTCCCCCTTTGGCAATGCCGTGACAAAACACACCTAACAAATAAAATCTTAAACACCCCAATCCATTACAGCCAACAAAAGCCAACTTCTTTCTCAAGGTCTTGATCTGCAAAACAATTATTAGTGACACAATCTCCAAAACAACTATTAGTCCCACAAGAGTATATGAAAAAGTAATAGACATATGACACGATTAACTTGAAACATGAGATGGAAAACATGAATAGATGAAAACTAAGACTCATGAAAAACAACTCTCAAACAACAAAAGCAAGATCATAAACCACACAAGCAATGATATGACGATGTAAATACCAGGAACATACAAGAAGGAAATAATTAGAAAATAGTGCATAGTAATTTGCAAAACAATTAAAGCCAATCCCTCTTACCGAACATGTCAAAGTGTTCATGCTAAACAACTCTTGCAAGAAAAACCAAACTCCCCCTCACTAAAAACAAAGAACAAGCAGAAAAACAACAAAAATAATATGGTGGAGCAAGCAAGGAATTCCAGATTCGTACCTTAAAAACACACAAGATTATCCAAGAAGCACCATTACAAGAAAGCACAATGTGCACAGTCTGTAGAAGATTCCTCATGAAAGAAAGTGATGCATTATGTGAAAAGCATAGATCCCATGATAAAAGTGTGTGTGTGACTCTTGGAGTTCGACAAACACTAGATTCAATCCTAGTAGTGATATGAAAGCTGGACCTCCGACAAGAAAATCTAAGCACAACAAAGGAAAGTCAAACCACTAGGAATCAAGGGGTATTTGGTGAATAAAGGCGGAGACTCTCCCTCAATCAACGAATCTTTTTTTTTTCTTTCTTTCTTTTGCACATTTTTTCTTTCTTTTGCATATTTTTTTCTTCTTCTCTTTCTTTTTCTTTTTTTTCTTTTTCTTTTGCACAATCATTGGTGGCTGACACGCTAAAGAGTATGGAAACCGAACCAGAGAAGCATGGATATAATAAGGATGGCCTGGTTGGTGACTCTGAGGTAGCCTTTTCCTCATGGCTGGACTACAAAGAATCGAGGGGAAAGCCGTGGAGGTGCAAAAAGATGGTAGGTGGTTAAGAGACTCAGCATCACCCATGATATGCTAGTATAGGTCAATTCCTCTAGAAACGCAAAAGATCAATGACAGAAGTCCATAGAAAAAAAATAATCACTAAGGCAGAAGACTCCAAAATTTGCTAATCCAAGAGTGTGTACAGAATGAGACATACTAATCAAAAACACACACTCCAA